TAGGGAATATATTATTATCCTTAGTTTATGGATAAGGAAACTGGGATCCCCAATCAATCCCCAAATCATCTGATTTGCCCAAAGGTCATAAAATGAATATATGGAAGACCTAGGACTCAGAGTGTAGGTTTTTTTGGCTCCTAATTGAATATGTTTTCCATATCACCAGCTGCCTCTCTATGTAAAACCATGCCTTTTCCTAATGCCCTTTAAAAGCTCTCAAAACACATCATGTGTACTTAGCCTCCATACACCTGTAAGGAATTGAGAATACAGGTATTATCAATCTCAATTTATAGAAGAGGACCCTGAGACATAAGATAGCCCTGGGATCATTTTTTGTGCAAAATAGTGATAAAACTCTGGAACTTTAGATTTTTATGCAGTGACTTTGTGGACCTTCCCAAAGGTGGTGACTGTAAAATTCTGCTTTTCTCCCCCTTTTTTCCTTTTCCTCTCTAGGTGGTAGTTGGTGGGATATGAAGGCAACTTTCATCCCAGTCATTTGGAAAATGGAGGAAAGACACAAATGACTCCTGTGTGTGATGGATCAGAGGAGAAGAACAAAGAAGGGCGTGGATGTGGGGGTGCTGTGGTGAACTTTTTTGTAGCTGCCCAGCTTTGGCCTACAGTAAACTGACTCTGGGGACTCTCCTTATAATCCTACACAGCCACAGCCTCTTTCCAGAGCACTTTCAGACCTAGTTAAAAGAGAGGTAGAACTGAATGTGGACTTGAAAAAAGCCAGAGTATCTGAAAGATATTGAGAATGGTAGCACATTAGTCTGATGACTTATGGACAGTCCTGGAGTGCCAGACTTTTAGAACGCGTGTTTTCATTCTTCCCACAAAGACAGACATACCCTCGTCATCCCTTTGGAATCATCTTCATTAAGTTATGTGAGAAGCCTGACAGATCCAAGGTTCCCAATCGTGCTTCAGAGAATGTGTTTTCTGATACATCATGGGTATTGACACTTGCAGTAGCTGCCAGCCACCAACTAATGGCTTCCTGCATCTCCTTTTTAACATTGTTTGCTAATATTCACTTTTTGGAAGCATCCAGCAGCTGGGAACCATTTCAAAGAGTGTGTCTTGCCAGACAAAGAGGATCAGAATCCTACTTCCCTTTGCCAGATGGCTTTTAATGGCTAACTGCAGAAACTGTTCTTACTTAGGAGAGAATTCAAAGATTATTAGATCAGAGAAGCTTTCTTCAATTCAACAAGCATTCATTAAGCACCTACTTTATGCAAGGCACTTTTGTCCAAAGCCAAAGTTAAACAGCTCCTGCTCTCAAGAACTTACATTCTACCTTTATTTTAAAGCATGTAAACTTTCAGAATATTAGAATCTTTTTATGTAAATATGGCCACTTGTGAAGAAAAATAACTGTATGACTACAAAAAAAACCCTTGTGTTTTTTATTCAACGATATGAATTTTGCTCCCATTGCTTTGGTCCCTGGGGATCAGCAGCTCTAACCCTATAAATGTAATTTTGTGACAGCAAAAATTCTCCCTAGTGATAGAAAAAAGTTTTTTAGAAGTAGGATTTTTTAAAAAATTCCTCATGGTAAGGGTCTGTGAACTTAATTTTTTTATATTATGCTAGTTGTATTTCATTATAATTAGTTTCCTTCATAATCCTATGTATTTTGTTTTTGTGCATTTAAAAGGACTGGAATATAAGAATACCTCAAAAGACCAAACTCAGTCAACTAATGCAGTGCATTTTTCATCCAAAAAACAAAGAAAATAGAGATAATAGTATGACAATTTTTATTTCAAAGTAAAATGATAATATCTGTGTATACTTTAAAAAAACTTGTATTAAGTAGGAGAAATTATAGTAAAAGCATTTTAAAATATTTTAAAAATTAATGTTTCAATTGGCACACCTTTTTTTAGTGTATTTTTTTTTTAGTTTTAGTGTGAAAAACATAACTCTGGGGTCCTTGGGTTTTGCTAGAATACCAGTGAGGTTCATGATGCACAAAAGGGCATATTTTGGTGCATTTTGGTTTGGAATTTGAATGTGATGTAGCCTCTGATAAGGTCCTACTCTGGGCCCTTTTTGTGCCTTGGAGGTGACTCTGGGCTATGGGAGCAGACTACAAGAAGAATTCTGAGACACTCAATACCAGATGGCTGGCTTCCAGATGAAGACTTTTTCTGGCCACAGTAACTATTAAGGCATTAAAGAGGGTCCTAATCTGCACTAGTGGAGGAAGTAGACCCAATACTGATGAAATCACAGATCTTTGCAGTTTATAAGCTTAACAGTAGTGAAAGGAACACTGAACCAGGAATTGGGAGACCTGAGCTCTGACTAAGATATACCCCACAAGGGTATTGTGTGAGGATCTAATAAAATAAAATATGTAAAATGCATTGTAAGCCTTTAAGTGATATATAAGCAAAAGCTGTTATTGTTATCACAATTATCACTGGCAATTAATAATAATAATGATAATAGCTAACATTTCTATAGTGTTTATTATGTGCCAGGCACTGTGCTAACCACTTGACATTTTTTTTTTTTGCTTTTTGGTGAGGCAAATGGGGTTAAGTGACTTGCCCAGGGTCACACAGCTAGTAAGTGTCAAGTGTGTGAGGCTGGATTTGAACTCACGTCCTCCGCTTTACATTTATTATCTCATTTGATCCTCCCAACAACCCTGTAAGGTAGGTGCTATTATTACCTCCATTTTACAGATGAGAAAACTGAGGCAAACAGTGGTTAAGTGATTTGCCCAGGTCACATAGCTAGTAAGTGTCTAAGGTCAGATTTGAACTCAGGTCTTTTTGACTCCAGGCCCAGTGCTATCTACTCCACCACCTACCTGCCCCCTAATATTAGTTTAACTCATAGAGTTTCAGAGCTAGAAGGGACCTTAGTGATAGCTTCTTCTAATTTTACAAAGGAGAAAATAGAGGCTCCTTCAAGTGGTTAGGTAGCTTGCCCAAGTTTGCAGAGTTAGGACTAGAACCCAGGTGTCTTGACTCTAATCCTGTGCTCTTTCCAATATTGTCTCCTATATGCCATTGGTGTGATTGGTAGAAGATGAATGAGGTTTAGAGTCAGAAGATTTGAGTCTGAATACCAGCTCTGACATTTCCTCTTGGACAAGTCATTTAAGTCATTTATTGATTCAGTTTCCTTATCAGTAAAATGAGGGACTGAACTATGACCTCTAAAGTTTCTTCCATTTCTAAAATCCATGATCCCTTGAGTTCCTTACCTCTACATCACGAGGGCTACTGGTTTGAAAGGGAATAGAAATGTTTTCTTCTAAAGAGACTGTGTGATCACATTGCCCTTCCCAGGGCTGAGTAGCAGACATTCTATCTTCCCTGCTGGGGACAGCAGATTTTTCATCTACCTCATCCCCTCCCCTACTTCCCATTGACAATAAAAACATGCACCATTGCCCTGGATGCCTTGGGAAAGGTATTACTGTATCAGGTGACAAGTGACTCTAAAAATCTGAGGAAAACAAAGAGAATTTGTTCCATTATGTCTGACAAACCTGATCTCACCTCAAGCAGAATGACTATTAAGATGCCATTACTACCATTAATATATAGCTTATATTTTTGAATCAGCCCCCTGCTCCCAGGAATATAATTTTTCTCCTTTGCAACACAATCACCCAATTTAGCCAGGTAGAAGAGATCAGCCCAAATATCTCTTGTCATGTCATTCATTTACCTAACTCAGTTTTTACCTGCTCTTCTATCCAAACTTTAGGCCTTGATTCATTTAGCTACAAGAGACCTTCCAGATCTCATCTAACCTCATTTGAGAGATGGGCTTTACTTCAAGTTGAAGAGTTAGGGACAATTCTTAGTTTATTTGAGCAAGTACTGAAAGAAGAAGGCTCATCTGAACCATGACTAAAATGCCCTAGGATGGTACTTTGGACACAGTAGGTCCTTAACATGCGTTTGGTTGTTTGATTAAATAAAAGCACTTTTAGCCAAATGTAATTATAAGACGGGGCAGCGAAGTGGAAAAGTGGGTAGAGTTTGGGGACTGAAATCAGGAAGACTCATCTTCCTGAGTTCAAATCTGGCCTCATAGATTTACTATCTGTGTGACCCTGGGCAAGTCACTTCATCCTGTTTGCCTCAGTTTTGTCATCTGTAAAATGAGCTAGAGAAGGAAATGTCAAACCACTCCAGTATCCTTAAAAAACAAACGAACAACAGCACAAAAAATTCAAATGGGGACATGGAAAGTCAGACAGAACTTAAAAAAAAAAACTGAACAACAATTAAGTATAAAGAAATGGAGGTTTATTTAAGTCTTCCAGCTCCTGGTTCACCTGGCTAGGGACTCACCTTCAGCTGCCACTGTGGATGGTATGTTTTAGGAGATGAAGAGGGAGGTTTAAAATGAATATTTGCCTCTAGTAGTCTAACCCAAGTGATGTAATGTGGTGCTATTCATCTGAGTAATTCCCATCTTACTTTAAATGAGGGTTGGTTTACTTTTCCTTCTCTGGGGGGAAGGAGGTTCAGGGTTGAGGATGAAATTTCATCTGTGACTCAATCTCTGTGCACTAGGACAAATGCAGTTGCAAAGTCCAGCCTTCGGGTTGGACCCTAGCAAAGCCATTACCCAAGCTATGGTGAGAAAGGAATGTCTGCTCATACAGACTCTTCATTTCACAACCTTGAGTGTTCATTTCCAACTGTGTTTATCAAACGTGTATGTGTGAGTGAGCAAGATGGGTTCTACGTGTCTGCCTGCTCAGTGCTCCTGGATCCAACTGCCCTGTGTCCACCTTATATTCCCTGGCCGCCTGGCCTGTCTTCCAGCTTCTCTCTTTGTGTTTACCATCCTCTGTATGTTGATTCAGTTGAGCCTGTGGAGGGAAATTTACATCCTAAGGTGATGCCATAGTTGAATCAGAGGGGAAAGTTCAGGAGCTAATTGGTCAGTAAACTTCACGGCACAACTGAGTTTCTGCCACTGGTGGGCTTTGATTTCAGATACTTCCCCAGAATGAAAGGGAAAACTGGAAAAGCTGGAAAGCATCCCTCTTTTCTCAAGATGGTGCTGGCAGTCAGCTGGCTTGGATTTGCCTTCTTCACTCCTGCTATATTCCCAGGTGAGTACTTTCCAATGCTAAGTGATGCTCACAGACCCTAGAAAAGATCATGGGTGTCACAACTGGAGTTTTGGCAGTGACAGAGTGGTCCAGACCACTAGGGGCAGAGACCCAGAGATTAGAGAGGATTGCCAGAGGGAGGTAGCCTCTACCAAGAGGGTGATAAGAGGAAGTCTGGAAAAGTGGGCAGCTTTCAGAAGTAAACAGCATGAGAGAGTTAAATATGCACTGATCTTGCCACCAGAATACCTGAGTTTGAGCAAAATCTCTACTGTTTACTACCTGTGTGACCTTAGACAAATTGTCTGGCTTCTTTGGATGTCTGTTTCCTCCTCTAAAATCAGGAGGGAAGTGTGGTTTATATGATCTCTAGGACCTTCCTAAAACAAGTTAATTCTGACAAAGTGAGTTATTTAGTCCATTCTTCCATGTGTGACTTCTATAGTTTGCTTCTTTTTACTTTGCCCAGAATCTTGACTGAGGTGGCAAAATTTTAAAATTAAACCTATTCAAATGTAGACAAAACAGCATACTGTAAGGATAATAAACTTTTTATACAAATTTAATTATATATTAATTAAACAGACATATATATATATATATATATATATATATATAAATAAATATAAATTTGTCAATTTGTTTATTTAAATTTATATAAATCATGCAAGCCTTTCTGTGAATGTCAGAGGAATTTAGTAGCAGGTAACAGGTGAGCATTCAGACAAGCAGTTTCTCAACATTATTGAGGTCTAGCTATAGACAGACAGATGTCCCAGGTAGAAGTGCATGAGTGGGACAGAGACATCTCCTGTCAGGCAAGAGGCTGAGAGTGAAACAAGTCAGTGGTGGATTCAGGAAGGCAGGCAGAGGCCCAATCCTGGGGGATTCTTGTGGCAGGTAGTAAGTGGAGATAAAACATGCAGACAGATAAGCATCATTGAGATCTGGCAGTCAGTGACAAAGAGTCCAGAGGGCTCAGGGCTAGGATTCTAATTTCTTGAAAGTTGATGACCTGGGCTATTAGATAATATTTCAAGGAAGGGACTCAAGAACAGTGGAGCAAGATTGGAACTCCATCTCTGGAAATGGGGTTTCAGGGTTTACAGAGAACAAAGAAAGAACCTAATAATCAGGGGGCAGCTAGGTGGCGCAGTGGATAGAGCACGGCCCTGAAGTCAGGAGGACCTGAGTTCAAATCCAGCCTCAGATCAAACACTTGATACTTACTAGCTGTGTGACCCTGGGCAAGTCACTTAACCCCAATTGCCTAAAAACAAAAAACAAAAAAAAGAACCTAATAACTAGGACCAGAATACAATTGCCTGACCTCTGGAATCACACCTTTTATTCCTACTGTCCTGGGACCAGCTTTGTCCCAGAATCTGGGATGATCTGTCTGAGGAGCTAGGAGGACAGGAGGTAATGTAGGGTCAGGCATCCAGGCCAGTTATTCCAGTGGGAGAAAGTAGCCTGTTACTGAAGCTACTAGAGAGAATGATTAGGCAGCTCAAATATACCCAACTTATCTCCTTCAGTTTCTTTTAATGTCTGAGAGCAAGAGCAGAATATTCTGAGAGTCACGAGACAAAACTACAATCAATACAAATCAAGGTTAGAGTGCAAGTTTGTAAAGGAAAACACATCTTTAAAAGTTGATTAAGTTTTTTAAAAAAGAATTTTCAGCCCCATTGACTATCATTGTTCTCGTGTTTATAAGTGATGGTTTTCTCCAATGAGTTCAAGGTGTTTTCCACATCTTGCCAATTAATAATCTTCACGACATCAGAGAGGTACAGGTAGAACATGGTAATATATTGTGGAATCCTTTATGTAAATGCAATTTGAGCATTTGAATTAAAGTTCCATGTGGAAGAGAAATTAGGCATCCTGTTTAGCCCCAGGTGACAGAACCAGGAACATTAGAGGGGAGCTGCTAAGAGACAAATTTGGACCTGATGTCAACGCATTTAATGCTGACCAAAAGTGGAATGGGCTGCCTCCAGAAGTAGTGAGCTCCTTCTCATTGGAAGTCCTTTAAGGAGAGGCTTCATGACCCCTTGTTGGGGATGTTTTGGTTAGGCACTCCTTCAGTTGGACTGGATGACTGCCGAGGTCCCTTCCACCTCTAAAATTCTTTGATTCTGTGAACATACATTAAGTATCTGTTACTTGCAAGGCACAATGCTAGGGCCTGGGTATACAAAGACAAAAAAAACATTTTCTGGCTTCAAGGAGCCCTACATTCCACTGATGTTTGGGGGTGGTCAAGATATGACATGTGTGAAAAGGGAAAGGAAGAAGCATTTACTAATCACATACTATGTGCCAGGCACTATGCTAAGTGCTTTGCAAATGTTATCACATTTAATGAAATAATATGTACACAAATAAGAATAGTACAAAAAATGGAAGGACAAAAAACTATCCACGGTTATCCCTTCCACATTCCACCATTAAATTCAGGTTTATTGTTTAAGTTGTTTGTTTATTTTATTGCAGTGGAGATTAATTTAGGCTTAATCATCCAGTCAGTGCTTGTACTAGCTACTTTCTTCAATACAAAAAACAGTTAAACCAGCTCATTCATACACTTAAGTCCTATTACCACTCCACCAATCATTACCTGTGCTTTTGCAGGCTCTTTTAATTGTCCCGTCATGCTAAGAATGTAAAAAAAAAGGAAGAAAGTAGAAGAAAAAGGCATAGCTATAAGCTTATTTAGAATATTATTTCTTCCAGTATTCAGAAAGCAGCACACTTGTCTGCATGATGCACCAGAAACCTGTTTTTGACATGAACTGGCATAATGGGATGGGTGGCTCCTGGTGGGATTGGTAATGAAATGTCTCATCACTGTGTACAATGATGATTCTTCCATACTCTTATCTAATTTTCATAACATTTCCCATGTTAGTGAAAACACTAGATAAATGATTCTTTTCCCTTCCCTTGGTGAGACATGGGATTTAAAACTATGTATAAATAAAGCCTACGCTGTGTATGATGATGATTCTTTCATACTTTTATCTCATTTTCATAACATTTCCACAGAAGCCACAGATGACACACACAGGCCAGCAGATGACACAGAAAAAGTTTAAAAACTCAGAAATGCATAAAATATATGTATAGTATTATATAATATCAACATATTTTATCTTTTAATACCATAGTAAATCAGCCTTCTTCTCTGTCACAGAGGGCCAAAAATTTTTACACGGATTTTCCAGATCATGGGGGGGGTATCGTGCCCCTAACCTCCATGATATGAAAGGGATAACTGTATTAGGAGGGGTCATGGAAGAGTGGGCACCTGAGCTGAGGTGTGAAGAGAGATTAGGATTCTGAGAAGTGAAGTTGAGATGAAATTTCAGGGATGGAAGATGGCTGGTGCAAATGCATAGAGTGGGAAAGGAATTTACATAAAATTCTTAATCTTATTTTTGGTGACTTAAGTGAAAGCAGCTTATATTTTAACTTTGAAAATTTAGTTAACTGAGACTATCACTGGGGTTAACTATATAGTCTGTGTTAATGTAGTTGGAATTTTTTTTCTCCAAAGTCTTAACTTATTTTAGGTATTTGGGGTGAAGAAATAAGATTCTTCCCTGTATGTTTCTTGATGAATTGAGAGCTTCCCTCTTGCTTTTCAATTTCAAGCCACTTTAAAATGGCCCTTTGTTCATTTAAAACTAGGGGTTGGTTAGGTACAGGTTGACCTTAATGGTTTCTGAGGTTCCTTTTAACTCTGAGACTCTGTGAAAAGGAAAATAAACTCTTCACGCCCACAACACCTCTCTCTCTCTCTCTCTCTCTCTCTCTCTCTCTCTCTCTCTCTCTCTCTCTCTCTCTCTCTGTCTCTCTGTCTCTCTCTCTCTGTCTCTCTCTCTCTCTCTGTCTCTCTCTCTCTGTCTCTCTCTCTGTCTCTCTCTCTGTCTCTCTCTCTCTCTCTCTCTCTCTCTCTCTCTCTCTCTCTCTCTCTCTCTCTCTCTCTCTCTCTCTCTCTTTTTCTCTCTCTCTCCTTCTGAGCAGACTCCAGAGGAGAAGCAGAAACTATGCTGTGTAAACTTTACCTCTATTCTTCAGCTAAACTGGTATTTTGTAAGTTTTAGTGCACTTGAAGCTTTTGTAGCTCAATAGTTCACTAAGACTTTTGGGGCACCTTGTTATTAATAACTGACACTTATAGGTACTTTAAGGTATGCAAAGGGATTTACATGTATTATTTCATTTGGTCCTCCCAATAACCCTGTGAGGGAGATGCTTTAGGTATTATTGTCCCCATCTTACAGATGAGAAAATAACTTGCCCCTGATAACACAGCTATGAATTGTCAGGGCAGTGAATGCCAGTCTCTCCAGACTTCTAGTCTATTACCCTTTCCACTATACCACTGGCCTGAAAATGGCAGAAATCCCCACAAATATTTCACTAAATGCACTGCAGATCCATGCCTGGAAGTCATTTAATAACACTGAATCTGAATCATGCAAAGGAAATCCCAAATTTCCCTGATGGAGGGTAAGGCATCAAGACCTAAAACAAAAAAAAAAATTTCCATTCAAGGCTAAAATGTCAAGGACACTACAGGGACAGGAATATCTGTGATGTTAAGGCTGAATGTGAATAGGGTGAGAGATAGATGCTTGCTCCTGAAACCTTACAAATAGGAGCCAATTAGCCTCACGGGATAATCTAAGAACAGTTTCCTATTTGGATCTATGGGTTGGTGGGCCAAGTCTGAACCACTCCTCCCTAGATCATGGTTGGGGAACTATACTTCTTTGCCTATTTGAGCTAGGATTAAATGTATTTGGAATGAAAAACACTGTCCCTGGGGCAGGAAATATACTGCACACATGAACAGTGACTCATTGGCCTTGAATAATTGTCTCTGTTGTGTCTTTACAGAAGGGATACATGAAGATCCCTTTCTGGGCCATTCCTCTGATCTCTAGCTCTATTTCTGAGGCTGAAAGCAAGCTAAGTGAACAGACCAGATGTGGGTCAAACTGTGAATTGTCAGTTTTCCTTACACAAATTCCCTAGAGGAGAAATATTCCCCTGGATTTCTTGCCCATTTTCCCCTTTACTTTTCTTGTCTTCTGGATACTGCAACAGAAATAGTTGTCTAAAACACATCTTGGCAGCTTTGCCACATATTTGGAAATACAATATTATTGCATTAAGATAAAGATCCCACTGTTGAGCTAGTCTGCATTTTCCATCTGATGGCCACTAACATGATGAATCCTTCTGAATTTGCAAAAGCAGAAAATGCTTTATTAAACCCACCTGAATTCAACCCCCTTCTCTTAATGAAATAATTTGAGTCTCAAATGGTAGCCAGGGTTTCCAGCCTAATCATTCCATCAGGCCCAATGATTAGATTTAAGTATAGGTGGATGGATTTTGATTCCCTCCTCCACTCAAGTCATTACTGCTTCCTCCCTCTTCAGATTTTCTTTTCTGTAAAACAAGAACAACAAACCGAGATCGATCTCTCTCTCTCTCTCTCTCTCTCTCTCTCTCTCTCTCTCTCTCTCTCTCTCTCTCTCTCTCTCTCTCTCTCTCTCTCTCTCTCTCTCTCTCTCTCTTTCTCTCTCCCCCCTCTCCGTCTTTCTCTCTCTTCCTCCTGCTCCCACTATTGATCAGCATTGGAGTTTAACCTGCTCTGTTTTCTGACCTGTGCCAACTCAACTCTCCTAGTGGTCTAGTGGTCTCCCTCTCTTGAGATCTCACTATATTGATGTCACATTTAGTGCAGGCACCCAGTTGGCTCCCGAGCTCAAGAGATCCCCTAGCATCAGCTTCCTTCAGCAGAAATTACAGGGACGAACTACCATGCCTGACCAAATTAGCTTGAAGTTACTGTTCAGTACATACCTTGTATCCCCTTAACAGAATGGATGCTTCTTGAGGTCAGGAACTATTTCAATTTTGTCTTTGTATTCCCAGCACCTACCAAAGAGTCTTATAACTAGCATGTGCTTAATAAATGCCTTTTTAATTGAGTTCAGTTAAATTGAGAATCACCATGGAGTAATACGTAGAGAGCAGATCTCAGATTAAAAAAAATCAACAACAACACAAAAAACCTGGGTTCAAATGCCTTTTCCTACCCATATGGGCTGTGTGACCCTGGAGAACTCACTTAACCTTTCATGACCCAGGTAACTGTTTTATAGCTATAAGTTGCAAAGCTTATGGGTGTAAGTTGCCAACCTGAATTGTTAGAGGGAATTTCTTTCCCAAAGGTTTCCTATGCTAAAAAAAAAATTGAATTATGGATTTGGCTTGAAAATGACCTTTCAATTCAAGTCAGGTATGTGTAGGCTTAGAGGAAAAAGTATTAGTTTGAGGAATTGGGCTTTATATTTAGAAATGACTGGAATATAAATTGAAGCATCAACAAAATTTATTTTAAAAGAAAAAATAAAAGTAAAAGGAGAAGACGTCATCCAACCAGTTTGACTATCAGAGACAGAGTTGCCTTATTCTGACTTTTATGGAAAGGGGAGCTGAAGGGCTGAGCCCAAGGTACAGTATTTCTTTATGGGCATCTTTTGATGGCAAAGCTCACATTTACTGAAAGGGACTGCATTCATAGGCAAGTCATGAATGAAGCCAAGTCTCAAGAGGAATTCTGTCTGCTCATAGCAAGAAGACCAGACTGAGCAGACCTGGGTTCTAGTCCCAAGGCTGTGGGACTAGACTAATAAGCTGTGGAAACTCTCTCTAGACCCCACACTCCTCATCTGCAAAATGGAAAAGGGGAATTTAATAATACTAATCATAGTTCACATTTGTATGAGGCTTTGAAAACCTTGATCCTCACAGTAAACTAAGAAATGAGGTGCTACAGGTTGTCCCTTCCACCTATGAGCTTGTTACTGTCCCCATTTTACTTAGCTTGTAGGGTTGTTGTTCAGATAAGATGATGTGTATCTACAGGAGTTTTGTACACTGCAAAAATTATCAGTATGTATTGTTATTGTTGTTTCTCAGGTTGCCTCCAATTCTCCCTTTCTATACTCTGAACTTAGAAGTCACAGGGTCGTAAGCTCATGAATTTGGAACTGGGAGGAGCTTCAGAGGACATGAAGCCCAACTTTCTCATTTTACAAATGAGAAACTGAGGCACAGAGAGTTTAAGTCACACAGCTAGCAAGTTTCTGAGATGGAATTTGAACCCAGAACTTCCTGACTGTGCTGCAATAACTTTTGTCTGGGAAATTATGATAACAAAATGGAACCTGCTTGGGAGACAGCATCTTCATTAGGGTCAGAGGGAGAATCAATTCTACTTTCCAAAGGACATAAGGGCTCTTAGGAATCAAGAGAGACAGGCTCTTGTTCTAGCATTTTAATTGCCTAGAAAATTGGCAGTAGCTTCTTTTGTGACTCAGCTTTGCCATCTGTAAAGTGGGGATTATTCTGATGCTTCTCCCATTTTGTGAGTGTTGGGGTGAGGATGAATTAGAGCCTCCCTCCAGGCACTTTAAGCATCTTGGGGTAAAAGTCCATATAAAGGAAACTGGTATTTAATGGATTCTGGATAATTGATACTTCCCTTCATTTCTAGGAGCATTAGCAGAATGTCCTGACCATAGCCCCGACTTACATCCCTGGGCCCCTGGCCATGATGAAGATCATCGTGTTCACATTGGCAAGGGCAGAAGGCTTCTGCTCACATCCTCAGCCACGGTCCATTCTATCCACATTACAGATGGAGGTAAGCAGCAAAGCCCCCTCTTCTCTTTTCCTTTTCTGCCTAACATCCCTTCTAATAAGACAGAGAGCTAGGGCAGGTTTTGGCCATGTGTTCAGATAGACAGAACAAATGACACATGCAGTCAGCTACAGCTTAATGTCAATCAGAGCATCTGGTTCTCAGAGCTAATCATCAGCTCTGTGCAGTCCAGAGCTGGTTTATAGCTTGTTCTTGTCAGAGGTTTTACAAAAGAAAATCATTAGCGAGATGCTTATTGGACCTGGTAATTTCCTTCCTAAACAATTTCTCTTCCAAGCACAGTGTATGGTGACAACCACATTTAGCAAATATGATGCTACTTGTAGGGTGTTATGGCAGCCAGGCATAATGATGGCCCTGTTGTCAAAAATTCCTGTTTTGACTTCTATCTCCAATACATACGATATCTTAATATCCTGGGCAATTCTCTCTAAGTCTTTAAGTATCAGAGAAGTTGCGTATCTTCACTGGTAAAAGGATGAGATCTCTAATACTAATGAATCACAGGTCCAGACCAAAGAAAAGAGGAGTGGATGGAAGACCAAAAGAAAGAAAGAAAAACTTTTCCTAGGGAGAATATTCCTGAGGTCCTACATTTAGATCTGGAGGGTACTTGAGAAGTTATCTATTCCAACCTCCTCCTCTTGTTACAAATAAGGAAACTGAGGCCCAGGGAGGTGAGTAATTTGCCCATAGCATTAGAGACAAGGGTATATTTTTTATTTCTGCATTGTCTTCTAGAAGGCTATATTTGCTACTAGCTTACCTGTGGCTTTGGGCTATTTGCTTTATCCCCTTAGGTCTTTTTTTCTTCACCTACAAATTGAAGGAGTTGGACTAGGGGTGGGGAACCCGCCACCTTGAGGCCATGTGTGGCCCTCTAGGTCCTCAAGTGTGGCCCTGAATTCAGTCAAAGGGCTGTACTTGAGGACCTAGAGGGGCACATGTGGCTTTGAGGCCTCAGGTTCCCCACCCCTGGGTTGTACTAATTGACTTCTTAAGTATCTTCCAGCTCTCAGTTTCTTCGATACTCGTCTCCCTATACTGCTGCTCAAATATCAACCTCTTTCTTCCTGTTCAGGAAAACTGGTTATTAAGGATAACACCGAGCCAATTGTTTTGCGGACTCGACATATACTTATTGAGAATGGTGGAGAAATGCATGTAGGGAGTGAGACTTGCCTTTTCCAGAGTAATTTCAGCATCGTCTTGTTTGGAAGGTAGGTAAATAGCTTGCCCGAACTGTACTACAATATTGAATTGGATTTAAGGGAGGCTTTCTGAAAAAGTTGTGAAGGGTTCCTGTTCCACTTGGGAGATACCAGTATAAAATAGTCTTCAATACCTCAGTACTTTGAAAAATCCACAATTTCATCATCGTAGGTATTTTCTTCACTAACCCAGACAGCAATCTCTCCATTTTGTAGATGGCCAACATTTTAGCCACCAGATGATGAGCCAGAGGTGATCAATAATAATGATAACTACTATTTATGTAGTACTGACAACATGCCAGGTACTGTGCTAAGCACTTTACAATTTAATCCTCGCAGCAACTCTGGGAGGTAGATGTTATTATCATCCTCATTTTTACAGATGAGGAAACTCTGAAGCAAACCGAAATTAAGTGACTTGCCTAGGGTCACAACTAGTAAGTGTCTGAGGCTGGATTTGAACTCAGGCCTTCCTGACCCCAAGCTTCCTGACCCCTGGTCCTCTATCCATTAAACTACCTAGCTTCCCCAAAGATGATGAGAAGATGAGCCTCTGTCATTAGTTAACCTGGTCCTTGGGTGACATCACTAGGCCTATACTTGAAACCTTCTCAGATCATTGTGACCTAACAGAACTTATGCTATAGGGGCATAGCTTTTGAGAACCTAGGTTTTCATGCCATGATGAATCATAAAAGCAATCATAGTTCACAGAACCAGGACAATGCTGTATACAGTAACAGCAATATTGTTCTGTGAAGAACTGTGCATGGCTTAGCTATTCTCAGCAATACAATGATCCAAGACAATCCCAAAGGACTAATGATGAAGCATACTATCTGCCTTCAGAGAAAGAAATGATACCATCTGAATACAGACTGAAGCATGCTATTTTTCACTTTCTTTCATTCTTTTTTTCCCTTTATTTGAGTCTTCTTGTACAAACAACTAATATAAAAATGTTTTACATGAATAAAAAAGAAAGTAATCCGTTCTAGCCTAACTGATGGCACACACAAATAATCAATTAACAACCACCCTACAAACACTAAACATCTATTATATGGTAGGCACTGTGCTATGTGCTGAGATACAGATACAATAAGTAAAACAATTTTGATTGACAAGCAACTTCCATTCTAAAGGAAGCCACCATGATATGGAAGATGCTGAAGAAATGTAGAAATCACGGATAATTTTAATTTCTATGGCCTAGGTGCCATATTTTTTTAGTTCCTCCAACCGAATTCCAATTATAGTCTTACTTACAGAGACTGCAATAATTCAAAACATGTGTTTATTCCTTCCAGTGATGGCCTCACCCACCCTTAGTAGACCATCTGCATACCACCTTCCCCAGATCATTAGTTGGTGGGCCAGCCTTCTAGCAATGAGCCTATCCACATTTAGCTGGCTGGGTTCTTGCCAGATGAATGATCACTCATCAGGCCCTTACTTGAGGACTTTATAAACTCGTAGAGATAAAGCTGCAAATGATATTGGAGGCTAGTTTGCCTAACCCCCCTCATTTTATAGTTGAGGAAACTGAGGCTCAAGGTCATTATAGTAGTTTTTAAAGGAAGGATTTTAAGCCAGGTCCTCTGACCTCAGAGCCAGCGTTCTTTCCGTTGTACCACAGTGAGATCTGCCAAAGACTTCATCCAACTTTTATAATTATTGCCTTTGAGAACCCGGGGTTACTTCAATACAACAGTGAATCATCAAAATAGGATTTAAGAGAAGGGCTTTATAAAATTGGTGAGTGAAATAAAGCAAAAGTTAAAGGAGTGAAATTTCACTCCACGGACAGGATTAGCCCTTTAATTAGAGCATATTCCTTGACATATAAGTTGAACATTACTAGATTTGTTTTCTATTCAGAATACATGGTAGCCAAAGTAACCTAGTACAAGAATTATGTTAGACATTCCATTTCTGATGAATTCCCCAAGCTGTATTATTTATAAGCCAAAAGAAGAATTTCTGATATTTGTGTACTTCATGATAAATGCACTTAGCACTGGGAAGAAATTCTTAATAAATGTTAATTAACTGACTGACTGATCAAAGTATCTCATAATTGTTCTGAATCCTGAGTATAGATTCATTGGTGGAAAGTCTGATTGCTATTTTTTCTGGCAGTTTGATTTATTCAACCAATGTTTACTGAGTTTCTTCAGAGCAAAGACAGTTTCATTTTTGTCTTTATGATTTCTATTAGCCTAGGACCTCTCATTTAGTAGGCACTTAGTAAATGCTGTTGATTGATTGAGTACCTACTATGTGAAGCATTTACAAAGCTGTAGGTAACATATCATGTTCTGAGAGTAATGTATCATGTGTTAGTCCCTGCCTTTGAGGCTGGACTTTGCTCCTCAGCAACTCTCAGGAATAATTTCTTAATGATCCTGGGCAAGTCACTTAATCCCAGTTTGCCTCAGTTTCCTCAACTATAAAATGGGGATAATAATAAGAATACCTACCTCATAAGGCTGTTGTAAGAATCAAATGAGGTGGTATTTGTAAAAATGCCTAGTACAATGCCTGGCACCTACAGCACATAGGCACTATATAAATGCTTATTCCCTTATGCTTATTTCCTTAATGATTTCATAGTCAAACTTGAGTTTGTTTTAGCTGTTGTTTTTTTTTCTTTTAGAGCTGATGATGGCAGTGAGCCTGACTATTACTATGGACTAAAATACATTGGAGTTGGCCAAGGTGGCACTCTGGAAATGCATGGGCAAAAGAAGCTCTCCTGGACTTTTTTGAATAAGACCCTCCATCCAGGAGGGATGAGTGAAGGGGGTTACTACTTTGAAAGGAGCTGGGGCCATCGTGGTGTCATTGTCCATGTCATTAATCCCAAACTCGGTGCTGTCATTCATTCGGACAGGTAAGGTTTACTTGAATATTTATTTCTTAAGCCAATACCCCACCCTTACCTTAAATTCCAGTGCTGAGAATGTTCTTACTTGAGTCCAATCAATACCCATCGCAAAGGCAATAGGATCTCATAATTTTTCTCTTTGTCTCAATTTTCCTACCTTCTTCAGTGTGTTGTTAGGAATCAATCTTTATTCATTCAGAATAATGTTATATGCTTAATGTACTATGAGAGCAATAATGATACCTTACAAATATGTTTCTTACTGATTACAAAGTACTTCATATATAGTATCCCTTTTGCTCCTTGCTACAAACCTATGAGGTAGGATTGCAACAATTATTCTGCCCATTTTACAGATGAGGGAATTGAAACCCAGAGAGAAGTTGTTTGCCCAACGTCACATAAGCCATAAGCTGTAGGCTGTAACTTGAACCCAAGTCTTCTGGTTCCCAAATCCAGTGCTCTTCCAACTTCATTTGGGTTTTTGTCACTTATCTAATGCTTCAGCTCTCCTGGCTAAGCAAAAGCAAGTGATATCTACCTCTTTTTAATATGGCAACCTCAGCAAACCTTTTATAAAGGACAGCCCCAGGTGTTTCCCATAAATGACATCTAATTGGACCCAGTTAAGTAAGTACCTGACTTCAGCCTATGAGCAATCATCAAAAATGAGAGCCTTGCCTTCTGCCCATGTCAAATCAAGTCAAGTTAGGGCAACACACATTTATTAAGCACCTAATATGTGCCAGACACTGTGTTAAGCACTGAGAATGCAAAGGAAGACAGTGGAACAGTCTCTGCTCTCAAGGAACTTACAACCTATGTTGCATCAAGTAAAGATGTATCATTTTTATGTATCAGTGCCAAAGAGTAAAAGTCATAAGTGGTATTGATAAATCCTCTCTGAATAGTCAGTCACCTCAAGTTGCTATGTTTTTCTTTTTAAAACTGGAAATTGTTAAAGTGATGTGAAACATTTGATTTCAATAATGCAATAAAGTAGTCCCACAGTCAAATGGAAATTACTTCCAGAAGGGAAACAAGTGAAAGTGGAATAAGTGAAAAATATGCAATCTTTTAAAAGGAGAGAGTAAGACCAAGAGAGAAGTAGTTTCCAGTGAGGCCGTAGAGAGCAAAGGACAGTTATCCTGCTATTATCCCAAAAAGCATCTGAGTTTCTACTTAATCAGTTTTCTCTTTAGCTGAGTGTTGTTTATGACAGAAATGATAGGAGAGTGAGAGCCAGAGAAGCACATTTAACAGGCTTAAGAGACCTTCTCCAAAATTGGGGAAGTAACTGGGCCCCCTAAGTCAATAGAAGGTGCTAAAGGAGGCCATAGATATGAAAAAGATCTAAGAAGACTTTATGACCTTCAGAGAGTCAGATACATAAAGTATGTATGTGGCCCACGTGGCCCATTTTGATGAACAAGCTGGCAACATCAGAAGGTCAATATCACTATGGGGAGGGGCAGGGCAGGATATATTAGAAAGGGAAAAGATTCCAGTCAAGAGCACAGATTCAAAGGCTTTTGCAATAATCCATTTATGAAATATAAGAATAATAACTGGCATTTATATAGTGATTTAAAGTTTGCAAAGTACTTAATCTCATTTAATCCTTACACCAACCCTGAGAGATAGGTGTTATCATAATTTCCATTTTATAGTTAAAGAAACTGAGGCAGGATAGGTTATTTACCCAGGATCATAAACCTAGTAAGTGTCTAAGACAGAATTTTAACTCCAGTCTTCCTTACTCCAGGGCTAACCCTCTATCCACTCCACTACTTAGCTGCCTGAATTAGATGGGGTAGCAGGGAGATGTGGAGGAATTGTACAAAGGAAAAAAAATTGGGCTTCATGCCTAATTTCACAAAAGGAGAAAAGCAGAAGACAGAGTATAAACAGGGGTGAGGAACCTGCAGCCTCGAGGCCATATGTGGCCCTCTAGGTCCTCAAGTAGGGCCTTTTGGCAGAATCCAAACTTCACAGAACACAGAATCCCCATTTGTTATTTCTTCTGCGAAGTCTGGATTCCATCAAAGGGCTTCACTTGAGGACCTAGAGGGCCACATATGGCCTTGAGGTCACAGGTTCCCCACTGCTGGATAAAACTTCTTATAATACATAATCAGAGGATAAGAGCAGGTATAGCACAAGAGGACAGGAATAATGAGAGAGGTAGGTAGAGAACCAAGAGAGTCATTGTGAAACAAGATATTATGTTACAAGAGAAGCCAATGAGGAGAAAATTTCAAGAAAAGAAAGCTAATCACTAAGGCTGAATGCCATTGATTAAGAAGCCAAAGAAAATGAGCACATTGATTTCCCACCTAAATGCTCTCCTGGACTCCATTTTGTCTTCTGGAATCTCATTATCCTGTCAGATCCCATGAACTCCAAAATTCACACCTACTTCTTCTGTATCCCTTGCTTCTGTCCCCTCCCCCCACCCTTCCCTCTGGTTGGAGAAAGTAGAGAGGTGGACAGTGAAGAGCTCCTCCATTTACGGAGGGCACCCAGGGCAACTACTTCATCATTTCTCACCTGGCTGTACTCCTGGATGGCTGCATCCTCTGTCTCGCCCCATTAGATTATAAGGTCTTGAGGGGCTATCTTTTGTCTTTTTTTTGTATCCCAAGAACTTAGTACAGTGCCTGGCACACAGCAGGTGCTTAATAAATGTTTATTGATTGACTGGCAGGAAAAAAGTCGCTGGAAGTAGCACGATGTAGTAGTGAGCCCATGAAATTGGAATCCCTGGCTCCGCCCCCAATTGTCTGAGTGACCTTTGGCATCTCAGTCTTAATCTCTATGTCTTTTAACTTCTCTGGGTATCAGGTGTCTCATCAGCAAAATGAGAAAATTAGGCTAGAAGTGGTCTTTAAGATTCTTTGCCTTTCCACAGTATTCCATGATTTGGCAAGACTTTGAGAACACAGTTTTTATAATATGCTGGGGCAGAATGCAAAGTGTTGTCACAGAAGCCTTGATAAAATCACTTTAAATGTTTGCTATGAAACTCTGTCAAGTTCTGTGATGAAAATGTAATTCATAATGTCTTCAGTAAAAGATACTTGTTTTCAGGAAGCAGTTTACTTCAGAAGCGATTTATGGTGCAAGATATGGTCGGCATGGCATAGCAGGGCAATGAGCACAGGCCAGAAGGTGGAAGAAAGGGAAGGTTATAACTGCTGTTTTGCTTTTTGGTCTTAGGCAAGTCTCTTTACCAATCTGAACCCTCATTTTTTCATCCGAAAAGTGGAATTCAAGTCTTACCTCATGGAGGTTTTGTGAGTGTCATATGAAGTAACACAAAAAAGAACTTTACAAAGGAGACGAGCAGAAGACAATATAAATAGGGGTGTTTTATAAATGTAAGGCATCTACATCTATTGTTATTATCCATATATCTCAGTGAGTTCAGTCAATAAACATTTATTAAGCACTATTATGTGCTAAATACTGGGACACAGCAAAAGGCAAAGGAAAGAGAGAGGGAGACAGAGAGACAGAGACAGAGAGACAGAGAAAGAGACAGAGAAAAGAGAGAGAGAGAGAGAGAGAGAGAGAGAGAGAGAGAGAGAGAGAGAGTTCTTTTAAAAAATGGGAAATAGAAAGTAACTTCTTTCTGACTGGGAAGAGCTATTATGCTTTCAGGGAGATGCAGAAATTTGACCTTGTTCTTCTACCAGGTAAAAGATGGATTCTGAGGAAGCCAAAAATGGAGGGAAAATATTTCAACGCTAGTCTACAGGGGACAGTAGTCAAAAGTTCTTGAGTCATGGGACAAGCTAGGGTGAATTAGAAAGGAAGCATTTTAATCAAGAATAGGATAAGGCCAGGGTTAAATTGAGCCATGATGGATTAACAGTAAGGACAAGGGAGAAAGGTACCAAATGCTATGTAATAGTCTTTTTTTTTTCTTTAAAAGCTTGGTCTGTATGTATTCTCTTTATCATAATATTTTATAATATCATTTGGTTGGTTGGTTTAAAAAAGAATAGGGTTTTGCTTTTGTTGTTTGTTTTTGTCTTTTTTTTTTTAATGAGAAATATGATTATTTCCATCTCTAGCAAACCACATCTACGGTTTGTCATGCAAGCAAGGCACCTGCTGCCACCTGGTGGCACTGTACCCTAATTTCAAACAAAGTACAAAAGTGGATGAAAATACTCTGTTGAGAGCTAAACTTTTCACTTTACATAACAATAATTTTCACAGAATTAATGATGAATAGAGAAAGAATAAAGGAAATGGTTCTGGATCTATAATTCTAGGAGTCTTCAGAGGGAAAAGAAAATTAATTGGTTGCCAAATAAAGGGGGAGTAGATCAGATGAAGAAGGCTTTCCCCCATTCACCCCCATCCCATTGGTCACTTAAACATGTATGAATGCAGAGAGATGTAAGCCAATAGAGGGGAAGATTTTGAAGATCCTGAAGAGGAAGGGGATAAGAATTGGAGAAAAAATCCTCAGGAGCTAGGAAAGGATGGGATTAGGGTACAATTTAAGGGTAAACATGTTGAAATATTCCCTTTTTATATCTTCTGCTTTACCATGGGATAGTGGATAGAGAACTGACCTCAGAGCCAGGAAGTCCTGGCTTCTGTTATACATTGCTTGCATGATTGTAAGCAAGTCACTTATCCAGTGTCTTAGTGTTTGGGCAGCTCTCTAAGATGATATGTTACAGAGAAGTTTCTGGAAGAAGTTTTCTGATCTAGGAGTTCTCTCTAATATCAATGGAATTATCCCCTTTCATGGCCAGAGACATCTGATACTGCTTTTGCCTTCCTGCTTCCCACAAACCATTTCAAGAACCTTATGGATTTTCTTTTCATAACATCTTTTAAGTGAGACCTTAATGTGAAAAAAAAATGTTCCTTTTACTCTCTTATGATAAGGCTCCAGCATTCTAGAAATAATAATGCTGGGGATAATAGGATGTCAGAACAGGCTGCTTCTTCTAGAGATCATCTAGTGCAATATCCTCATTTCACAGAGGGGAGACTGAGACTCAGGAGGTGAAGTGACTTTCTCATGGCCCCTCAGCGTTGTGGCGGAACTAGAAGTAGAATTCAGGTTTCCCGAATCTAATTTTTTGTTCAGTTGTTTCAGTCATGTCCGACTCTCCATGACCCCACTCAGGATTTTCTAGGCAAAAGTACAAGAGTGGTTTGGCATTTCCTTCACCAGATCATTTTGCAGATGAGGAAACTGAGGCAAACAGGGTGAAGTGACTTGTCCAGGGTTACACAGCTAGTAAGTGTCTGAGGCTGGATTTGAACTCAGGAAGATGAGACTTCCTGACTTCAGGTCTGGCTCTCTATCCACTGCATCATGAATAGCTGCCCTGAATCTAATACAATATCATTTTCCACTAGTCCAGGCTCAAGCAGATCATTAGAATGCTGTGGATAATTTTTCCCATTTGGGCTTGGAAGTATGTTATTTTTTCTGAAAAGTCAAATATGCAAGGAGCCACGATTTATTTCTAAGTTTAAAAAAAATGCCTTTCACTGTGCACTCCTTAAAAAAATAATATTTCTTGTTATCAGTGAATAGTGTGCTGTCCTCCTCTGTTAGCTATAGCAATAAAACTCCTGGACCCCTGGGCATTTGGAATTGAACTGCATAACTGTTCCTCATTACAGACAGTCCTAACTTTTGTTCTCTTTTTTAGGTTTGATACTTACAAATCCAAGAAAGAGAGTGAGCGCCTGGCACAGTATTTGAACACAGTGGCTGATGGCATGATCCTTTCCGTGGCTGTGAATGATGAAGGATCTCAAAACCTAGATGACACAGCCAGGAAAGCCATGACCAAACTGGGCAGCAAACATTTCCTGCGCCTGGGATTTAGGTATGTGTCCATTCTGCCAAGAAAGCTGGGGACAGAGTTCTTATTATGTATGTGATCTTCCCCAAGACTCTGAATAGCACAGTCCTTTCACACGGAAAACTTACCACTTTATAAATAGCCCCTCTTCCCTAGTGAATCTCCCAACACACACACACACACACACACACACACACACACACACACACACACACACTTAATAGTGAATTAATAAGAGTCAAGCACATTGCAGATCCACATTGGGTAGGAGAAACAGTATGGACGTGCTGGATAGTGGATATATTACTGGACTAGCAGTTGGGAAGACCTTGGTTTAAGTCTCACCTAAGGAATTTCTTAGCTATGTGGCTCTGGATCAAAGCATGGACATAGATTCTAGAGCCAGGAAAAAAACCTTAGAGGTCATCTAGTCAAACCCCTTCATTTGGAAAGATGGGGAAACTGAGACCTATAGAGGTCAAGTGATACACTCAGTGACACACAGGAGATATGTGGCAGAGCTGGGCTTTGAAGAGTTCTCTGACTTCAAATCTAGATCCCTTGCCTACATCATACCACCTTTCACAAAATCTTATTCACTCATTCATATGAGTGAATTCATACTCAGTAATCACTCACATATGTAATGTTTCCTTAATAAACATTTATTAAAAGGATCTATTATGTGCCAAACACTATGCTAGGCACCAAAGGAGATACAATACAAGGTCTTCTAGCTCTGAATTCACCTCTTTTTCCACTGTACCATAATATTCCCAGATGCAGAGAAATCTACATCTCTATCCTCATATATACATAGCTAAAGTTCATCTTTCTTTTTGTTAAATGCACATTCAGGATAGTACCATGCCTCGGGGATTGGCAAAAAGCTTGTTTGGAGATTATGCAAAGTATATTTACCCAGTTAAACACGGTAAAAAGCTGGTCTTATATGTGACTTGGTGTGCATTATATTTACCCTTCAGGTTGTAAAATGTCCTGTCTGTGTACATTGGCATGTCCCCTGACGTTGAGAATGTTCACTGTTAATCCAGTGATTGCCACAACATTTTATAATTGGTTTGAATTTCGGCTCTTTTAAGTTGGAAGGACAATCTTATCCTATAGACACCTGGAGGCCACCATCAGCATCCTTCCTACCCCTCACCTGATAAGGTATAGACATGATGACTCTTCTGAGTCAAGATCAAAAGGCCGTTACTAGTCATCAAAGGGAAAGACCATGAAGTGATAGCCAAAGAGAGAGTAATCCCAGGTAATGGAGCATTTCCTTTGAAAATTAAAGGGCCACATACTCAGACAGGTGCTATATTCTAGAACTGATGAAAGTCTGAAAACTAGATACAGTAATATTAATTCTTTGGAATTATAAACTTTTAGAGCTAGAAGGGAACCCCGAAATCTTTGTTACATAAATGAAGATACTGTCAAGCAACTTGTATAATTAATTAGCCACTGACCAGGTCTAGAATCCAAATCACCCTATAGTATGCTTAGCTCCGTACCATGATATTTCTCCATAACATGGCATTCTCTAGCACCTATAACAAACAGTTAAACTGTGATCTCATCGGCAAAGTAGGAAAAGGACAAGTACGATTTATTATCCCTATTTTGCAGATGGAAAAATTTAGCTACTTGCTGATGGTCACTCTAGTTATTAGGAAATAGCAAGAACTGAGCCTTGGTTTTCTGGCTTCAAAATAGAATGGGCTAATTTGGCCAGTGGTCAGCTTCCTTTCCACTGAGCTCTTCAATCTGGATGGGTATGTTATAGAGAGGATTCTCATTCAGGTATGAGTTCAACTATGCGACCTCTGAGGTCCCTTCTAGCTTGGAGAGTCGGTGATTCAGTGATTCAGTGGTTCCTGGCTTGGCATCACGGTATAGCAGCATGTAATCCAATACAAAGGACAGGACTGTACTGAACTGAAAATAGAATCAAAAAGCTACCGAGAACCTACTGTATGAAAGGTAGTGCATTGTCCTCTGGAGGATGCAAAGAAGAATAAGACAATGTTTTACCTAACTGCCTCTGTGGAGACAGTGAGGCATCATGGTGTCTAGAATGCTGGACTTGGAATCAAAAAGATCTGAGTCAAATGCTTCCTCACTTAATAGCTCGGGGACTCAGGACAAATCTATTAACCTCCATCAACATCACTCTCCTCATTTCATAAATAGAGACAATAATAATACCTACCTCACAGGGTTGTTATGAAGGTCAAATGAAATAATGTATGTAGAGTGCTTTGCAAAAAAAGTATTATATAAACGCAAGCTATTGTTATTATGACTATCTATACACAGAAGATGACAAACAATTAGGAAGTGGTATGTGATAAATGCCAAACAAGTCATGTGGACAAAAAATTTCTGGAGCTACAGGTCCTTATTAGGTGGGTAGTCAGGCTAGAGAAGGAAGAGTAAATTTCATTTGACCTCTTTCTGCCTCAGCTTCCTCAGTTGTAAAATGGGAGTAATAATAGAGATAAGCTTCCTTCAGAGAGATGGAGAGCAGGTAGAGATTGGCGGGGAGAGGGGACAGAAGAAAGGGTTAGGAATGTCCAGAGTGAGAAAATACACATCGTATGGCTGGGGGACAGTGGAAACAACCTGGCTATGGGGTGAAAAAATTACAAACCTCTACTGGGCCTAGGCCATGAAGGATCTTGAACATGTAGTTAAAGAAGAGTTCAGATTGAGCCTACCAGTGCAAGGGAACCACTGAGTGACATGTTTATAAGCTACTAGCAGGCAAGGATTGTGCTTTAAATTCATCATTCAACAGGCATTTACCATTTGCTGTGTGAAGGCACTTTGCTAGACACTGGAGGTAAAAGGATCAGAAGTGACATAGTTTTGATCCTCAGGAAACTTACATTCTATTTGAATGTTCTGCTCTCTATTGCTTTTAGCATAAAATACGAATTACTCTGGTTGTCTCTGAAAGTCCTTCACAATCTGGCTCTAACCCATGTTATTCCCCTTCAAACACCCTCTAGTCCAGCCAAACTGGCCTGCTTTCTATTCCTTACACATGACATTCCATTTCCCATTGCCAGGCCCTTGTTCAGACTTTTCCTCATTCCCGGACTGCATTCGCTCCTTATGTGCTGCTGTTAGAATCCCTGGTTTTCTTTAAAACTCAGCTCAAGCATCACCTCCTACATGAGGTCTTTCCTACTTTCCCCCAAAAGCTAGTGCCTTCCCTCAATTTTGTTTATATGTAAATTTGTTATTTTCCCAGATATAAATGTAAGCTTCTTGAGGGAAGGAACAATTCATCTTTGTACCCTGGTGCCTAGCATCGTGCCTGGCAGGGGGCTTAGTAAATGTTGTTGATTATGATAAATTAATGTAACCACCTAAGTATAATAAAAGATAGAGAGAGTGGCGGAGGAAAAGGAATGATATAGGCCAGGGGTGGGGACCTTTCAGCCTCAAGGCCACATGTGGCCCTCCAGGTCCTCAAGTGCAGGCCTCCTCTCCCACCCCCCACCCCCCCAACCCCTGGACTGAATCCAAACTTCACAGAACAAATTCCCTTAATAAAAAGATCTGTTCCGTAAAACCTGGGCTCAGTCAAAAGGCTGCACCTAAGGATCCAGAAGGCCACATGTGACCTCAAAGCTGCAGGTTCCCCACCCCTGGTGTAGCCAAAGTACTTTAGGAAAATTTGAGAAGGGAAAAAAACACTTTCACCTAGTGGGATTAGGAAAGACTTCCCAGACTAAGTGGCACCTGAGCTAAGTATTGGGGTGAGATAAGGATTCTGAAAGATGGGAATGAGGACTGAGTGCTTTCCCGTTATGGGAGAGGACCAAGCATTCTCATGTTGCTGGGATATGGCGTGTTGAATCTGGGGAATAGTTAGTAAGTTGTCCAGTTTGATGTATAAAGGGGAATAATGTGAAATAAAGCTGGAAAGGTGGTTTGAAACAAGTTTGTGAAGGACTTTGAATACCAAGTAAAGACTTTTCATTTATCCTAGAGGGGATGGGGAGCCCCTGAAGATTTTATATGTCTTTGTGTCCCCTGAAGTGCCTAGAAAAATGCTTTACACAAATAGACATGGAAGGTGGAACTTAAACAAAATATTAAATTGGTGCTTTGAAAAGATTCATCTGGCAATGGCCAGTGTGTAGCATGGATTAAAAGGAGTGGAGAATAGAGACAGAGAGACCAGCTGAAGTTCTGATGTAGTAGTTTAGGTATCAGATAAAGATATCCTGAACTATAGTGGTAGCAATAGAAATGGAAAGGAAAGGATGGATATAGGAGGCAGTCTTAAGGGAAAAAAAAACAACACAGGACTTGGTGACCAGCTGGGTATGAAAGGGGTGGGAAAAGGAAGAGCCAAATCTCTCTAAGATCTCCTTCTAATTCTAAAATTCTATTGCTTTATGACTTTCATGTTTTAAGATTGAGTTACTGGCATAATGACTGTACAATTGATAGAAATAGGAAGTTGGGAGAAGGGAAGGTGTTTGGGGGAGTGCTGTGAAGATGGTGGTTTTTCCTGATATATGTTGATTTTAAGATGATAAACATCTAAGTATATACTAGAAAGATATAATTCTTGCCTATCAGGACTGGAGGATTAGAACTATGAGAGAGATGCGGGCTGAAGATATAGAAGGCCAGCTTTTCCATTGCAGGATTTCATGGCTTAAGCAAAAGGGAGAAAGCATAATTCTCCCCAAAGCCAGTGCAGATGAATAATTCTTTTTATCACAGTTCCTGAACTCCTGAGTTAATTCTTGAGGTCTGACTGAGGGCTAGGAAGCAATGTGAATATGAGATGTTGAGAGGTTGCTTTGCTGTAGGATGAAGGGATCCTGCCAGAGTGAAAACTGCATTTCTACTTACAGAAAATGAATGCAAGAAATAACCATTCTTAGCTGCTGCCAAGTCAAAACAAGTCACTATGGTGATAGAACATATCTTTAAGGTGGCTGGTTTTATGTTTGTCCACCTTGGGGCATTTGGGAAAGAGGACA